TCCCTTCTCTCCGGGCCACTGCGACCCCCGTGAGACCATGCTCTTCCCTCTCCCCAAAACGCCTCCGAAATGAAGTCAGTAGTTTATACGCCAGCACCAGTAAAAACGATAACCTACTATAGTTTAAAACGAGGAGTACAGGCCGGAAGAAAGTGCAGTTTTGACAGTAACTCGACTGTCCTTTCTCAGAAAAGGGCAGGGGTGGACTGGGGAGCACACGGTCCTCTCTGCCTTCCTGAGCTCATGGATGAGCCCAGAGTGCAAAGCCACTAAAGGGAAGACTTTTGGAAGAAGTAACCCTTTGTTTGTAGAAAATCTTTTTTTGGGGGGGGGAATAAAATTAGGTCTTAATATAATTTTTATGTGGACAAGAACAGACTGGTTTTCTTTGTGTAACAAAGCAGGAAAAATGTTCTATTTTTGTAAAGCTGGCTGGTGGGTAAATATGTGTTGATTTTATTAGTCCTGTGTATATGCATACTTATAATTTGATTCATAAAAACTTCATTTAAAAACGACAAGTCATTTTTCCCAAACATTACAAAAAGAAGTCTGAATGTAAAACAAAAAGTATTTTAATAAATCCTACCTGGTTTCATTTGTTCTTCTTATAAATGTTAAGAAGAAAGAAACAAGGTAGTTTGCTCAAGGGGTCTCTTGTTTGTTTATGCAGAAAGGGGCAAGCAGCTCGGGGAAAGCCTGTTAGTGGAAACTGGGGTGCAGAAGGACCCAAGTTCAAGGACAGGCTCCTAAGCTAAGCAACTGTGACCTTGAGAAACACATTTCTCTGACATTTATTTGTGAAGCAGGAATTGTATTTTCAAACTGGGAGGGATTACCAAATTCCATTTTTATCTTATAGATAGAAGACTTGCGGTCCAGAATGACTGAGGGCCTTGGCCAGGAACACTGCCCTCTGATCCCCAAGCCTGGGCGGAATCCGGGTCCCCCATTGCCAGCGGTCCAGCCAGTGAACAGACTTCGCCCTGAACAGTCTACCTAAAGTGTTTGGGGGTAAAATGCGGGCACTTGTAAAATGATACCTAAGAAGTATCATTTCTTGGCTTCCAGCGAAGACTTATTACTTCCTGCAGAAGATCAGTGCATTGCAGATCTTTTTTTTTTTTTTCTTTTCCTGACATTTCCCCTTCTATCAGTGTCAACACTGGTTTAGAGCTGCAGCAAGTTAGTCCCAGTTCTCTGGCCAACAGTGCCATCTGGTGGACACCTAAAAAAAAGTCTACAAGGAGCAAACTATGGCGAGAATTGGTTCTCTCTGTGGTTTGGGAGATCAAAAAAACAGGATGAGGGTTATTCAATAAGTGTAGTCACGAGCAAGACAGAGCCCACTTAGCTACAAACCACCCAGGCAAGTACATTTTTAATAGTTTGCCATCCCCTCTCTGGTAGCTCGCTACTTCCTAAGATGATGTGTGGAGGTTATGGAATAAGTTAGTGACCATCATATTTTACCCCTTTGTTTCCTCTTTACTATTGTCACTGTTGAGGCAGACAGCAAAGAAGGGCCAAATCTGGGGAAAAACAAACCAGCAACAAGAACAGAACTAGTTTTGAGGTTCAAAAATTCTAAACTCTTGTGCAGATCAAGAGGATTTAAACAAAAAGCTAAAAGAATACTCCAGATTCAGATGGGGAAAGAGGTTCTGGGCAGCCAGGCTGGGCAGGGGGGAGGTTTCTTTCTGGGGACTGCAGACAGAGTGGATATGGGGGGTAACTTCAGGTTCAGGGGCTCCAGCTGTCACAGCTCTAGGGAGGCAGATGCAGTCTGGGAGTGCCCCTCCCGAGTCTCAGTGGATAAAGCCACCGAGTTTTGCAGAGAATCTTTTGCATCAGCAGTTGAGGATCAGATTTCTCCTGTACTCACAAGAACACATGAGGCTACATACGTGAAGGGCCAGTGAAGCAGGACAAAGAGGACAATGACCTCAGCTATGGCAGCTGATGTCAACATGGACTGATGGCACCAGAGATGAGATACCCACTCCTTCCTCCCTCCCCATCACGATAAACAAAGTGGCATGGTTAATTGTATATGTCAACTTGGCCAAGTCACAGCACCCAGTTACTTAGTTGAAGATTATTCTAGTCATTTTTGTTCAGGTATTTTTTTAGATGAAGGTAACATTTAAATCAGTAAACTTTGAGTAGATTCTCCTCCATCATGTGGGTAGGCCTCTTCCAATCAATTGGAAGCTTTAATAGGAAAAGACTAAAGTTGCCCTGGCTGGTGCAGCTCAGTGGATTGAGGGTGGGCCTGGAAACCAAAGGGTCACCAGTTTGATTCCCAGTCAGGGCACATGCCTGGGTTGTGGGCCAGGTCCCAGTAGGCGGCGCATGAGAGGCAACCACACGTTGATGTTTCTCTCCCTCTCTTTTTCCTTCCCTTCCCTTCTGTCTAAAATAAATAAAAATCTTTAAAAATTTTTTAAAGAAAAAGACTACAGTTTGCAAACAAGAGGAAATTCCACCAGCAAACCACCCTCGTGCCGACCTACAACTAACTGTTCCCTGGGTCTGTGGCCTTCAGTCTATGCTGCAGACTTGGAACTTGAACCTCCATGATCACGTGAGCTAGCGGCTAAAAATAAATCCCCTCCACAGACACACACACACACACAGTTGTACTGTTGGTTCTGCTTCTCTGAAGAACCCTGACTAATGCAATAACCTCCAGACATTAGACACAACCCAGGATAAAGTATACATTTACAGCAGGGGGAAGGGGTTAAGTGATAGCAAGATTCCTGGTTAACCGGAAAATCAGAACAGGAACGAAGTGACTATGCCAAAATAATCTTTTTGGTGCAATTAGGATTGTACTCTGAGGTGCATGTCTGCCGTGTGCAGAAGTCGGAGTCCCAGGGCACACACGTTTTCCTGCTGGGAGAAGTGGACCCAGGGCAGAAAGGTCAAGTGCTGGCTATCTCTGCCCTTGGAACGTAGCAAGCACTGGCTTGTCGGATTCGGCAGCATCGTCGTTTTCAGACACGGTGCTCAAGTGTCATTTCCCACTTCAGGGAATGTGCGATACAGCACAGAAACTTACATTTCTAATACTGGAACCAAAAATTACCTCTGACTGCATGTCACCATGACCACATGCATCTTAATTTGTCCCAAAATGGGAACCTGTAGAGACTGTTGTCACCAGATAGAGACCTGTGATTCTAATGAGGGGATAAGCTAGTTATCACTTCGATGTAAAAATCCTCATTGGACAAGTTGCATTATTTCTCCCCACATTGGTGTTGACTCATGTAAGAAAAAAATAACATTTTGACCATTTTTCTTGCCTTATTTTTAGACTTTATGCTATAAAATCCTCTTGTTCCTTGTACTTTGATTGGTTTAGTTTGTTACCAGTGGTTGGGTTTGTTTGTTTTTCTCCTAATTAATTTTTGATGCAACTCAGGATATTTTTTTCTAAACTAAAATGTTTTCTAATTTATTAGAAAATAAATTAAATTAGAGATTTATTAGGAAATAAATTAGGATATTTCGGTGAAAATACCCTTTCACTGAAAACTACAAGACATTGATCCTAAATGCATGCTTCATTTATATGAGTCACATGTTTGTCAGAGAAGAGCTTACATTGGGTTTTAAAGCAGTGAATGCTTGCATCAGTGAGATACAGCCCATGAGAGATACAGCATCCTTTTGATGTACGATGCTCCCATTCACGGCATCCAGCTGGGAACGAACGGAGTAAACAGACTTGGCCTGCGGGAGGTCCGCGCAGTGAATTACCCAAAGAAACAGCGCAGTACCAATACCTGCGCTATTGTGACGAAACAGAAATGAGAACCTGGCCGGCCTGGGTGACGCAGTGAAGGGACTCAGGGATCCCTCCGCCAAGGGTGACGTAAGAAGCCCCAACCCAGCAGAGACGCTGGATGGGACTCTTCTGAAACGTTTCACCAGAGAAAACGTGACGCATTTTCCTATCTAGTGAGAAAGGTGACAAGATCATATATAAAGGTGACAAGACACTCTATCATCTTGGGGGTTGAATAACAGTTAAACTGTGAAACCATTTTCATATGCTTTATACGTTTTGCCCATCCATCCTGATATCCAACAATCTTTGAAGCACATTCCTCATATTCAAAAAAGATAATGGTCTTGGCTTAAAAAGAGACCGAGATATTTACCTTTATCTCTCTCTATAAAATATTAATTTGGTTCTGACATCCATATGAAGGAAGGGCCCACTAATCAAATATGCAGTGCAGAAGGCCGGGTGTCTTGGCAGCCGTAATGGCTTTGTCATTTTGAGTTTTCAGAAGACTGTCTTAGTTTTATTTTTTTGTTCAGCTATCACTGTCTTATTTAACTGCCATGAGCTCCAGAGCATGTGATTCCATCACTGGATCCGATGCAGGTGCTGGCAGACCCTGTACCTTGCCAGCCCACAGCTGGGGGTCAAAACAGTTCTCATGGCACATCCCTCCCCACTCCCAGGGGCTTGGAAGTTAGTCCTGGTGCTGAAATCGGATGCGTGTAAACCTCGCAACAATGTAAACCATCTTCCCTTGTTGCCCCCAGCTGAAATGATGGACAATTCGCACAGCCTCAAAGCATCCCCCATGTTTTGCTATACTGTCACAGAAAGGGCGCAGGGCTGAAGGTGCCGGACCTTCATCAATGTTGTGGGTCTCTAGACACCGGTGCCTGGGCGCCAACCATGTCTGGTGGGTCCTGTGTTTCTCCCTCCTGTTGGCAAAGTGATGCTGCATAAACAATGTTTCTGGGTTGCTGGGCTTCCCCACCCACCCATCACCCTTGAATGGAGCCAAAAAGGAGTCTCCGTGGCCCTTTCTGAAGTCTTTTCATGGTAACTATGTTACCTACATAACAGTTCAGCAGAAGCACACTTCTACTCAAGACTCGCTCGAACAACCAGACAAGAGTCACCTTCATCTAGAGAAGAGATTGCAAAGTAAAGGAAGATGAGTTGTAATGGTGAATTCACTCACTGGGTGCTGAGATCCTCCCAGGCCAGTCCCAAAAGAGGTCTGCTCCTCACTGGGAGGGGTGGCGAGGCTATAGCTGTTTCAGCCTCTTTCTCCAACGCCTGCCTCAGCCACTGAAGAAGAGGCTTCCTGGGGCAGAAGGAGCCTTGCACTAACCTGGCCCCAGAGCCTGGCTATCGCTGTGAAGCCAGACTGGGCATAGTGTTTGGAGGCCCCATGGGGTCAGCAGATGCAGCCCGAGGCTTCGCTGGCCCGGCTGGACCCTCCCGCTCTCTCCGCTGAGAGCCAGGGACCAGCCATGAGGAAGACTGGTTCTTGAACCAGAGTAACCAGAGGCATTATAAGTTTAACAGTAAAGGAAATAAGATTTTGTTCTGTGCTCCAAACTAGCAAAACAGAACATACTGGTTACATTTTAACATGTGCCAGGGTTGACTGCAAAAGACTTTGGAACATGAAATAAGAGTAGTAACAAGTGTGCGTGTGTGTAAGTGTGTGTGTGTGTGTGTGATGCTTGGCTAAATCAGGCCTGCCTTCTAAGTTATTATATATATATATATGTGTATGTGTGTATGTGTTGTATGTATTTATACACACACACGTGTGTGAAGAAAACATGACCCAGAAGAGAAAGCAAGGGCTGACGGACCTTACGACCCTCCATCCTTCCCCTACCTGGCCCTCACCAGGACCATGGTCTCACGTCTGAGGATGAAAGGTCAAAAGGCACAGCACGAAATGAAAGGCACAAAGGCATGATGGGAAACCCTTTGCCTTCAAAAGGAAGAAAGGGGCCTCCTCCCATGACCAGCTCTGCCACACCTGCCACACCGCTGTGCTCGGCTGCGGGAAGCTGGCCCTGCCTTCCTGCGTCCATCTCCCTGTCGGCCACAGAAGTGAGTGAACTTGGACTAAAGTCCACGTTCAGTCTTTGCTCACAAAGACTTGAGGATTTTGCTTCATCTAGAAGAATAAATAACCAGATGTTGACAGAAGTGAGCAATGCTGAATTCAAAAATTTAATCCTTCTGGCCTTTGTTAAAGAAACATCGGGGGAAATTGATGACCATAAAGATTTATATTTATTAATCTAGGGGAATTTCTGTCTAGCTCTGGAATGATAATAGTTATTTGAGTTATGGCTCGATAATGAAGACTATTGAAGCAGGGAGTCCCCTTATGGTTAACACTCATTAATCATCTTTATAATTAAAAATATATTTCTCAGCTCAGTCTATTTTTCTTATTTACAGGATAGCTACCAGAATAAAACTTTCCAGACGCCCAGCATGGGAATGTATTTTTAAGGCATGACTGACATGAGAATAAGTTCAATCAGCTGAGCATCATCACATACATCATATGTAGATAGAAATATTTCTGCCTTATATCTAGGGAAATCTATTTTCATAATGCTAAACCTAATGATGAACTGCTTGGTAAACTACAATGACTTGATTTCTGTTTACATACACTGTATGTATTCACTGGAAAAACCTAAATGCAAAGTACTATAAAGTCAAAGTAGCCCCAAGTCTCTCTTCCCAGAAATAACCGCATGCAGTGTCTTGGTGACTAGCCTTCAGGTAGTTCTGCAGGTGCGCCCTGAGAGGCAGACCTTGCTCACACAAACGCCCACAAACAAACATCTGCATATTAACAAGCCATTGTGAAAATAACCAAAGGCTAGCCAACTGAGAATAGGGGTTATTTACCCAGGGCAGGCTCCAGCAAGGAATTCAGCCACCTCACTTGCATTCTGCAGACTCAAAGGCAGGCAGAGGTGAAACGTCTTAGAGGAGGGAGAAGACCATTTCGAGCCTGCTCTGATTGGAGGCGGCGGGCCCGAGTAAGTAGGGCATTGTGTGCAGATGGTTAGCGGAACACGTTTGGCTCTCTCTGGATGGCTCAGAGTTGGAAGTGAGGATAGAAAACAGGGAATCTGGCCGTTGTTGATGAAGCTTCGCCATTTGCTACAGTGTTTCCGGGCTGGCTTCTTGACCTGGGTGCGGCCTCAGTTCTGGGGGTCGAAGGTCAGAGGTCTATTGTCACGCACGGCTTGGCCATTGTCTGTCTGTGTGCTCAGGTTCTCACTACCCGAGGTGGATGCAACCTGCATCTTCTATGAATAGATTCAATGAATAGTCACTGATTTATTATTCGTAATAGCTGAATGCTTTATTTTATAGGTGTGCTATACTGGCATATCTATTTATATAGGTGTACCATAATATAATACAAATTCTCTTTTAATGCCATTTGAAGCATTTCAAATTATGGTTTAACAATGATGATGCTATATTATAAGTGTTCTATTTTATTATTCGTTATTGTTGATCTCCTACAGTGCCTCATCAATAAATTAAACTTAATTGTAAGTATGTATGTACAGAAAAAACAGAGCATATATAAGCTTCAGTACTACCCCCAGTTTCAGGAATGCATTGGGGGTCTTGGAATGGGCCCGTCACGAACAAGGGGGGCTCCTCTATTCCATTTCTCAGGAGCCTTGAATGGCAGGTAGTAACCCCTGATATAATTGCCAGGCTCTCAGCATTATTTCATTTCTCATCATGATACCTTTTACATTCTCTCAGTATCATCTATAGCTTCTGAATGACTGTTCATTGTTCTGCCTCTCCGACTAACCTAAAGTAACTGCTGAGCTTCAGTAGTTGAACGTAAATCACCTTCTTTGTCCTTTGAATGCATGTGGAAAACTATGTGAAGGAAAAGTGAAGGAAATAGCCTGACACACCTAACTGGCCAAACAGCTGTCTTTCCCTTCTATCTTGTGTCTGTGCCGCTGGTAAGACTGAGCAGGAATTCCCAGCCCCCGGCTGACCCTGGGCCATCCACACAGTGAATTAAGACTTTGTTTTAATCAGTCTGCTTGTTCAAGACTTGTAGGTATTGATACAGTAGTGACGTGGTCCCTGTTTGCAATGTTATACATTTGGCCCCCCCGACAGACCACCCAGAACTCTGCTTTCTAACAGAGCAGCTGCAGGGTTAAAGTGACACCACCCCACTCCCCCCAGTCACAGCGGGGACTCACTTAGAAACTGCCAGAGTTGCAAGATGTCAAGACAGTTGCAGAAGTTCCCCGCTGCTCCCCTGCATTCCTCTGCTCAGGTATCTAAGTGTCAGCAATTGCTATCACTCCCGAGACAATCAGCTTTAAGTATTGTCTTAAAGTGTGACAAAGAGCTGCCATTCCAACAGAAGCAGCCTGGGTTAAGTCGATCTGAAGGGTAGAAATGGCTACCACTTGGAATCTGTTGGCTATTTTCTTAAAGGTTTTATTTATTTCTTTTTAGAGAGAGGGGAAGGGAAAGGAGAAAGAGAGGGAGAGAAACATCAGTGTGTGGTTGCCTTTCACATGCCCCCTACTGGGGTCTTGGCCTGCAACCCAGGTATGTGCCCTGACTGGGAATTGAACTGGCAACCGTTTGGTTGTCAGGCCGGCACTCGGTCCACTGAGCCACACCAACCAGAGCATCTGTTGGCTCTTTTAATTGGCTGTGATGGATTGGGACTCACCTGGCTCAGGCAGAAAGGCAGGAAGACTGATACCCGCAGCTGCGGCCGGGTCCCTGCAGGTTACCGGGAGACAGCCCTGTCCCTCAGGGTTTACTGGAGGTCCCCTCCCCTGTGTTCTTCCAGGACATTAGATACAATACACAGCATCAGTTCAGCTCACACCTGCGGAACCCCAACTGCTTTGTCTAGAAAGAGCAGCAAAACTAGAACAATTGAAGTTCACCGAGTTGGACTTGAACGGTCATCCCATCCAATCCTTTCACTATGGCACTGGACCCAAGTGGCATTCCTGAGGTGATGTCATGAATCAATGCTGGAAGCAGGCATAAAAAACCTCGTTCTATTTGCCCCCCAAAACCCATGACTGATTTTGTGACTTCACGGAGTCACACTTCATAGCACCGTTGAACCGCGTAGTTCCTGTACTATTGGGTTTTTTCATCTTTTTGTTTTGTTTTGGAAAAACATGCAGAAACACATTTTTCTGCATATTTGGAGAAAAACAAAAATACGTATTTCTGCATTTTTGTTTTGGAAAAATATGTATCTGCGTATTTTCCCAAATATCTCTCTAGAGTCACCCAATAAGAGGAACACAAATTACTCCGTCTCCCAAAGAAAGGTCTCTGGCTTGGGAGTCGGCGGGTTTGGTGGGTGTGGGCTGAGGGACGAGAGAAGACAGGCTGGGCTCCTTCCAGCTTCAGGGAACCCCGACAGATGCGAAGTGAAGGAAGCCTCGGGTCCCACCCTATGGACGTTGTCAAACGCCCTGCAGTCGTTTGCAAGACAGTAGCAATGGATCTTAGGACGACTGCACACTTTTCTCCCACAGTTCCTCTCAGGCAGGAGGAGAAACAGGCCCTGTCTGTCTCTGCTGTGGCATTTAGGTGAGTGTCAATCAGGCGCGACGCGGGCTAGGACAGAAGTGGCCCATTGGGTTCTCAGTCTAGAACCTGAGAGAAAGGGAGTCATTGGTTGTCTCACTGTTGCTCCTTTTTTTCCTGTATGTCATTTCTTCTACTGTAAATATGTTCCAACATAAATACGCCGAAGACTGACTCTGCCAAAAAGCATTCAAGAGCCAAAAGTGTCCACTTGCCCAGTACGACATTCACTCTGTAGCTGATCTCACAATGGAGAGGCTGTTCAAAGCCCTACCCTGAGAGTGGAATAAAATTCTGCAAACCAGCGCATTTTTCTTCAAGAGTTTACACTAGTAGAAAAGACATTTTGCAGCTTAAAAGGAATAATATGACCTGCATATACCTGAGACCCAGCCATCTATAACGACAATCTTTAATGTTTTGACAGCAGAAAATCCTCAGTCTGACTAGAATGAAGCCGTTTGGCAAGGCAGCAAGCAGCCAAGCATGTGCTTGGGTCTAGAACGATACAGCTAAAGCTGATTGTTTTGTGTCATTCACGACTGAGCAGTTCTTTTCAAAAGTGTGTGGAGTCTTTGCAGGCTATCAGAATGCACTCGGACTTCTCATTTGTCAAATGGTGGATATCCCTGTTTTTACGAGAGTCTTACAATCGGCTCTCATAGGTGGAACTTTCTTGGCAAAGGTACTTCCTATATCCTCCATAGGACTTTTAAGGGAGGGCCTAAAATTTTAAACTTTAGTTTTCCACACTAGACCATACAGATCTCTGTGAATATCATCTCATAATGTCCAAGCATATGAAGTGCCCTCATTAGCCAGTCTAAGACATGAAGGTCAGAGTGTCTTCTGGAATCAATTTGATATTTGCGTTGCATTTTTTATGTGCCCAC